GTGTTAAGGAAAAAAAAAAAAGACAAAAAGAAAAAAGAACATGGACACAGAGTACTAGGAGCCCAAGTTCCCATGTCACCAGGCAGAGATTTGAGAATTCCTCTATGGGAAATGGACTTAAATGCTAAAAAATGAAGTGGTTAAATAGCATCATTGACCCACTGGATGAACTCCTCTGGCTGCAGACAAAAATATTCAAAATCAGCTCTAATATTTCACTCTTAAATAGGATCATGAATCAAGTATATAAAGAAGCCTTTATAATAAAAAATATGGTTGTTGTTGTTGTTGGTGGTGGTGGTGGTGGTGGTGGTGGTGGTTGGTGGTTGCAGGGGAAGAGGGAGAAGACCCAGAACTGAAAGAAGACAAAGAAGACTTTAATAATTTTTAAAAGGTATTGTGTTGGTGAAATTGTAGAAAGAAACCACTCAAAAATTAAAAAAAATGTATAAATAAGGCAGAAAATAAAAAATACAAAAGTAAAAACTTTGTGATATAGGAATTAAAGTATAAAGTTGCTTACATCCATTAAGCAAACATCTACTGGATACCTACAACATTCCAGACATGGTTTTTCACAGGCAATATCTCAGAAAAATATTATGTACTGGAATATGAGTGAAGACAATTGTATGAAAGGAGAAAGCGTGGTGAGCTGGATCAAGTACTGCTGACAGCAGGGTGACAATTTCAACTAGGACACTTCTGAGCATAAAGAGGGGTGCTTTTTTGTTTGTTTTTTTGTTTGTTTGTTTTTTCTTTTTTTTGGTTTTCTCGAGACAAGGTTTCTCTGTATAGTTTTGGCGCCTGTCCTGGATCTCAAGCTGTAGACCAGGCTGGCCTTGAACTCACAGAGATCTGGCTCTACCTCCCGAGTGCTGGGATTAAAGGGCGTGAGCCACCACTGCCCTGTGAGGGGTGCTATTATTATACCAAGCTAACAGGCACACATCAGAACTCTTCTGACAAAACTAGGATCTGGCCACCTAAGTAATAAACCAAAAGAAAGCCTACAATTGATTTCTGCTTTTAGCAAGGGAGAAGCTAGTGATGATCCTGACAATCGGAACTGTGAGGAGTGGAAGGAGCAAAGCCTTCTGATGGCGGAATCAGACCTGGAGGAATGCAGTAGAGACACCTTTGGGAAACAGTTTTCCTACAGAGGCCAAAGAAGGAGCAACATCTCTGGAGCAGTAGAAGTGGGGTTAGGAATTTGGCTACTTTTATTATTTTTTTAAAAAAATGAGAGAAAAACTCAGCACATTCCAGTCCTGAGAGGAATATTTCAAAAAAACCAGCCAAATGTCTTCAGTACCCTTACTATTAGCCCACTGGTAAAAGCATGGAGTTTTTTTTCATAATTCATAATTCCGCTTTTGCTTTTGTAAAATAGAGAGCTGAAGAATAAGAAAGCCGAGGCTTCTAAGAAGCCTATAGAACCCAAATCCAAAATGTAGAAGCCTCAGAGAGAAGAAGCCCACTTCAGTTTTGAACCTTGGCAGAGCAACAGCAGAAGAAGAAAACCACCAGAGGCACAGACAAGAGACAAGCAAACAGAACGGAAAAGAAAAACGAAAGAAATATAAAGACAGGACCATGACTGTTCCTAGGTACGGCAGAGTAGAAGGTCTACTGCAGATGTGTGGGAGAGCATAGTCAGAGGCAGGGACATCTGGGAGAGTCCAGAGTGGACATGACCCTGACCCATGTGAGGAGAGTGGGAAGAGAAAGGAGAGGGGAGAGATGGGAACCAGGTGCAGCAGCTAGGAGGCCCAAAGGCCCAAAGAGGGTGGGTAACCAAAATGGCTGAATTATATCAGGAAGAGCAGCCTAGCCTCCTGGGCTACAGAGTTCAAGGTAGGGGGTGGGTATGCCAGCCAGGAGGGTCCTGTAACAGGTAAGGCCTGAGAGACTGAAGGGAGAACCTGGTGGCCAGTGTCCGCTTTGATATGTTAAATAGGCACCTCAGCCATTTGTCTCAGGTTTGAAACCTAACACAAACCATGTAGATCATACAGTATAGCAAGAAGAAACACATGGCACACAGTAGAAAGAGAGGGCTCTCTTTCGTTGCAAGTGGTGATTATGTTGGTATAAAATTCTCGGTCATCTATAAGAGTTCGAGTTCTGTGAGAATTCTAAAGCAAATGCACCACAACTGAAGAATGAGATACTGATATAAAAAAATAAGTTATACTAATTCTACACACTGCCAGCCAATAACTGCAAAGTGAAATTGGAAAAAGAATGACATGAAACCATGTCATTTGGTTTACAATGAAACGAAATCATCAGATTGGTAGATATAAACCCAAAGAAATATTGTAACATCTCTGTCCTAGTTCAGTCTTCTGTTGCTGGGATAAAACCCTCTGAACAAAAGCAACTTGGGGAAGAAAGGGTTTATTTTATCTTACAACTTCCAGGTCATGAGCCATCATTGAGGGAAGTCAGGCAGTAACTGAAACAGAAACCATCCAGGAACACTGCTTGCTATCTGGCTCTTTTACTGGCTTATGCTCAGCTAGCTTTCTTATACAGCCCAAGTCCACCTGCCTAGGGATAGTACCACCCACGATGGGCTGGGCCCTCCCACACAGTGTCCCAAGGACAAACACAGGCTAATCTGACCTAAGCAATTCCTTAACTGAGATTGCCTCTTCCCAGGTGTGTCAAGTTGACAAGAAAAACTAACTTCACAATTGCTGTACTAAAAATTATTAAGTATTGCTGAGATAAATCAAAAATGGTTTAAATAAGTAGTGGAAAGAATATGATGTGTTCATGTATTCAAATTCAATACTGGTAAAGCATCTATTTTGCTAAAATGGAAATATACTAATGAAATTTTATAAGACTCAGCCCAAACTGTTTTTTGTTAGACTTTTATAAGCTGATTCTAAAATTTCTATAGAAATGTGAGCAAGGGCCAGCAAGATGGCTCAGTAGGTAAAGGCACTTGCTGCCACACCCAAGGACCAGAGTTGTATCTCCAGGACCCACATGGTCAAAAAAGAGAACTGACCCTCTCATGTTATTTTCTGACCTATACACACCAGTGTTGTTGCACACAATAACACACACACACACACACACACACACACACACACACACACACACACTTTTTAAATGAAATAAAAATTTAAGAAAGAACATAAGCAAACAAAAGTAAACTTAAAAAGAATAAGAAATTTTCATATAATGCACAGAAATAGACAGGCTAATGGAAAAAGAAAATGTTTTCAGGAAAAGATGTTGGAGGAACTACACTTCTATACTGAGGAAACATACAAGTCTAGCCAGCAACCTCAGCCTACATAGAAGGCATAGGTCTAGCAGTAAAGCAAACTATAAAGCATCTAGAAGACATAAAAGAATATTTCCATGACTTTAGAGAAGACACAGAAGCAATACATATAAAACAACAAAAACAAAATGGATATATTTCATAAAAACAAAACCTTCTTAGCAGTGGACAGACATAGATTATATGTAATATATTTTTAATGTGTCTGACAAATAGGATCACATAAAGCCTTCTCAGTGCTCAACTAAAAGACAACAGAACATAGAAGGCTCTCCCTCCAGGTCTACCCAGTCAGTTATCTAGTATAGCATTATCTAACATTGACTAGCATTAACTAAAGTACAAGGATGATTTGGAAAAATTTCAACAAAATATACTTGATTTTTCTGATATATCTTAAAAATTCCAAGGCAGAAGGTGCCTGAAGTTCATTTTTCTAAGACTCAGATATTAGCACATTTTTGATGGTGAGATATCTTTCCCAATAAACATAGTTTGAGCAAAATATCAGAGATCATATTTGTCACAAATCAGACAAGCAATGCTACATAAATAATGATTCTTTGCTCTTTTTTGTAAACTGAACTAAATGGAGATCATTACTAAATGAAGACCTTGGCTTAAAATCATCAAAGTATAACTGGGTAAATTAGTAGAACAATTCAAAGGCTCTAGATAATTTTATGTACCGCATTAATTTAAAAAAAAATAAGTATTAGTGAAAAACAATAAAAAGGCTTAAATTATCACTATCCAATAGAAATTAATCTAAGCTATAAATAAAGACTACACATGCATGCTAAACACAAGGAAAATAAGTGATATTTTGATATTATAAATCCCAGCATGGAGGGGAAGAGGTGAGCACAAAACTCCACCCCTAGTTAAGGAGTTACTGGCATTTGATAAGTGCCGGCAGAGGAGGAGTCAGTTTTCTTTGAGGGTCTGACTCCTGATGGGTAGACCACACTCCAGGACAGGCCCCAGACCCACGAGTATTTGGGCAACACAAATTGAACTCGATGGGTCGGGGGCTGGGGAGAAGAGAACTCAAACTGGGGTCAGTAGGAAGGTGGGGGAATATCGGGGGGGGGGGGGGAAGAGGGGGAGGGAATGGATATGATCAAAATTATATTAAATACTCAAAGAATAAAAATACTACTTAAAATTTTAATATTATATGCAAAACAAGCACATATATTTTGTGCAACCACCAGTACATAGAAACTATTATCATTTTAATATATAATCAGTATAAAAATATTTAGACTTTTATATTCTTATTTGTGCCAAGTCATCAAAATCCAGTGCACATTCCATATTTATAACACATTACAATTTTATGCACATAACAGTACACATTTCAAGTACTTAATAGTGTGGCTAGTGGCTAGTGGATTTTAACACTTACTAAGTGTTAAACATTATACATGGATTATTTCATTCAACATTAGCTGAAACAAACAGAAAAAAAGTGGTCCAAGTTCTTATAGTGATAGAATCAGAAGATTCTAATTCAATCACCCCATACCTAATCAAAATTCTTTTTTCTCTACTGTTGAAATTTTCAACTGAACAAACAAATGTCTAGATTCCTTTCGATCTACATGTTTTGAAGTTTAAATTTTTGGCCATATTAAAAAACAAAACTGTTTTCCCTGCCATGATTTCCAATCTGAAAGAAAAGACTTACCAGTAATATGAGTTTCTGATATTTTTGTTTTAGGTCCGACACATTTGCAGACGGGTCTGCCCCCAGAATGCTGTACCAATCCTTTTGGAGTGTCTGCTCAAAAGCCATCCCCGCCCTTTGAAGTGTGCCTTCTCAGATAAGCTGCAGCAGAAATGTTATGGTAATTCATTACGGTCGGAATAATGAAACATCCCTTCCTAAATTCTTTATTACTTTATTAAGTAAATTGTGATCATAACGCAAACCCAGGAAAGTCTGTAGTTCCATTTAAAATGTATCATAAATGCCATGTATAAGGAAGAATACTAGGAAGCACAGAAAACCTGCAAAATATATCATAGTATATGCTAAGCTTTTAAATAAATTCACAATGTCATAAAAAGAGAATTTAATAATGAGCCTCGGTGATGGATGAACTTCTAAGAACGTATTTCTTATAATCTAATGGTAAAACTGGCAGACAGGTGTTCACTAAAAACACTGGGGCTTAATATTCACGAAACGAATGGATAAAGAAATTAGAATGCCAAAGAAATTGAAGCTGATGGCACGCATAGCCTCTGAATTTTCGCTGCTCACTTCTTTTCTTCCAGAGTAAATGTAAACATGCACGAAATGACAGCACGGGCTCAGGGAGAGGGCAGCCCTGCTAGGGCACAGAAGCTCACAGCCTGCAAATACATCGCTCCCGAAGCTGTGCACTCCAGGATGCCACAGTCCTCCCAGCTTTAGAAACCAGTTCACCATGAGGCAGCCGGGTCTCGCCGACTCGGAGCTTCAGGACTCCAGGCATCCACAGTCCGCCCTACCCAGCCCGCTGCTGCCAGTGCCTTCCCCTGGCTCCACACAGCGTCAGACTCACCAAGTTTCACGCGGGAGCCAGCCGGAGCCCATTCGGCCAGAGAGCGGAACCCACTTTCCCTTCCGCCGGAAGTCAGCTTTCAGTGGGAATACGTTTCCAGTCGAGCCCTAGTTGTAGATGCACATAACTGAAGGGCCTCGCCTCCTGCCCTGACGCGGTCGCTATGGTAACCCGTCGGGTTTCTGAGGTTTCCGTCAGCTGTGAGAGGAGCTCTGGAGAACTGCCTTTCCTGGTCTTACTCTAATTGCCCTGGCCCCGGCCCCGACATTGTCACAGCCTTCCACCTCTGCTGCGGAGCACCTTCATCCCAGGTTCCGCTTACCTTACCTTGAGCAGCTCGGGTCCTATTGGTTTATACTGGGGGCGGGAAGTTGGTGATAAGGATGAGGACAGCTCATAAATTATGCCTAATAATCATTCCCTTTAGACTTCTGCAAATGACTTTTTAAAAAAAAAATTCAAATACTTTCACATTTACTCTTTTTCGCTTTCACTTCAGCCCACTGAGAAAACTTTGGAAGGTGTTGCTATAACTACTGTGTAGATGAAACAAATCAGTGATCAAGGCCAGATACTTAATTATGCAGGTGTAGAACCAGCACTCCTACCAGAATGAACTATCCTTTGTGAGTCATTTTGGTAAGGGTTACTCCAGACGAGCACTTTTGAGTGTGCTGTTAGTTTTTTCTTCTCACCTCTCTTTCTTTGTCCCCTTTTATTAACTCTTCTCCGTGTTTCTTACTTTGCCTTGATCTCTTCTTTGCGTTGTATCTGGAGATGCAAAGCATCTTAGTTTTGAGAACATGATATGATCTTCCTTGGAGATACAAAGTGGTTTCGGTTGTTGCTACTTGCTTAGATATACTTTCCCTTCAGTCTTTCTTCTACCAAATATCAGTTTAAGAAGCACTGAAAATAAAACTGAGTGGAAATATTCTAATAGGATAAATTCTTTAATGTTATGAACATTATAGAATACATGAGGAATTTCAGAATGATACAGTTGACTTTAAAAATCTTAATGTGAAAGTGTAAAGTAAGTTCTTCACTGGATTTTGTCATATTCAAAGCAAAGATCATTATACTAACGGTCAGAGGGTCTAGCGTCAGTCCTGGATTTAGAAAACTATCTGTATGGGGCATACCAAAATATGCAAAGCAGCAGAAGTGAGTATTGTGGATCTCTCCTACAATATTATAAGAAAGCCTCCATTAAACTATCCTCCCCTCAAACAGTCCTACTTGACCCTTTTTTGTATACAGAAGTATATTCAAGAAGTCCAGTTTTGGGAACCAAAGTTTTTATATACTATCTCATTGGGTTATTGTATGTCTCATCTCTAGCCACTTATTTGATATCCCCCAGGAAATCCCAAATGCTTTGCATTTCATCTCCAAGTCCTTTAGTTTGCTGTCAACTTTTTCTTTTATCTCCAAGGTGTCCTTAGCCAATCAAAACTGTCAATATTTAATTTATATCATCCAATATACCCACCCTCTTCAAATCTCTCAGGTTGTTTCAAAGATGTTTTAGGGGTAGTTTACTTGGATCTGTATCCAAACACTTGGAACATCAAATCTGGTTGTTCTGCCTCTAAAAAAAAAATGTATTTTATCAGACTAATTCCTTCACTAACAACTTGTTTTTGTTGTTGTTGTTGTTATTAGTTCATTGGAAAAAAACATATGGTTTGTCTTATAATCCAAGTCATTGACACTTGGATAAACTTCTCTCGGTGACTGTTACTTGGGTCACTGCTCATTAACCTTCTGTTTTCTAGAACAATGTTATCCAATAGAAGTATAGGAAAGTAAGCCACATATGCAAGCTACATGTGTGACTTTTAAAATACTGTATTTAGCACAACATATCTAGAATGCTATCCTTATAAAAGGTCATCATATAAAAAGCTGACATATAGTTTGCTCTTACAGCACATCTTAGTCGGGGCTACTGGTTTCCAGTATTCAATAGCCTCATGCCACTAATGGCTATCTCATTGAGCAAAGCAAGTCTAGAGAATAAAGTCCCAACTCTTTTTCAATTACATTAATTTTTTATTGTATATGCATTTGTGTGGGTGTGGGTATGCCACAGCATGTGTTAGAGGAGTCCGCTGTTCCTTCTACCATGTGGGACCTGAGTACTGAACTCAGGTTGTTAGAATTGGCAGCAGTGCTTTTACCTTCTGATCCATCTCTCCATCCCTAAGAACCTAACTTTTTATTCTGTCATTAGAGTAGCTGAGTGTTTAAAAAGTACTTCTTTCAACATTCATAGCAAGTCCTACCAAATACTCGTTTGTACTCTTCTGATCCCATGACATGTTATAGTCTCTAAAGATATTCTGTAACAGTTCCCCTAGTTAGATTGTCAGCCATGTGGAGCAAGAAATCTCTCTTATCAGACAAACTGAGTACTGGGAGCTGACATGCCTCACTCTTCCAACTTCCTTTTTATTTATTTATTTATTTATTTGTTTATTTATTTATTTATTTTTCTGTTATCAGCTTTATACAATACAAATTCTTATCCTAATAGTGAAATGTTTCATTGAGGCTTGCCCAGTAATTGAGTAAAACCAAACTTACTTTAAGCCACAGTCATCCTAGGGTCACCCCTGCTATGTAGCCTCCCTGGTTCTGTGGGTTGCAGTCTGATTGTTCTTTGCTTTATATCTAATATCCACTTGTGAGTGGCCCATACCATGTTTGTCCTTCTGGGTTTGGGTTACTTCACTCAGGATGATACTTTCTAGTTCTATCCATTTGACTGAAAAATTTCATGCTGTCATTGTTTTTCACTCTTCCAACTTCTAATGATGAGCTTCTGACCTGGACCAGGTCGTTCTTCAGTGACGGGGTCCTAAAGCTAGTGGACCAGGGGAAGAGAAGATAAAAAAGATATAAAATCTGGGGTCAGGAGGTCTTGCACAAGCTGTGTCTTATGTTAAGCAAGCTTATTAAGAAGTACAGTGTCTTGTATATGGTTTTCAAGAAGATGGGACATGATCAGCAGAAAGCTATCATACAATTGGAAGAAATCAACAGGAAGCTAATCAAGCAATGTTGCACAAAAGGAACACAGTATCTCAAGTCATCACAGGGGCCTTGGAACTGAGAACCATAGTCCTTTGAGGGGATAGTTGGTTTCTTGGGAAAGCCTCAGCTTCCCCAACACCCTGGCCCTGGACCACTATTGGCTCTGCCAAGCATATTCGTGGTTTTAGACAAGGAACTATGTTCCTTCTCCATACACCAGAGCCTGGAGAAAAGCTCCCAAGGCTCTGGCCCCAGGCTATTACTGACTTTGCTAAGCATGTTCATGGTTATAGGTCCATCTCAGGGCCTCAGGAAAAGCCTTGGATCAGTTTGGTTCCCAGCAAGTTTCTACAATAGGTTTGTTTCTTACTGCCTTATTTTCAGAAGCAAATTTATCCATCATATGTGAAACTGATATAGCATAAATATAAACTATTGGGTTGGAATGATGGCTCAGTGCTTAAAAGCACATACTGCTTTTGTAGTGAATCTGAGTTTAATTCCCTGCACCTATGTTGAGCAGCCCACAATCACTTGTAATTCCAACTTCAGAGGGATCCAACATCTCTGGCCTTTCAGGACACACACTTACATGAACTTACAATTAATTAAAAATAGAATAAATATAAAACTATTCTTAAATGAAACATAAACTATTATGTGGTAGTTAAGGACATGAATTCTACAGTCAAGCTGGGTAACCTCAGCTCGAGCTCTTCCTCTTCCTGGCAGTGAGAACTTGTAAGAGTTAATCCTTCTGTACCCTGCTTTCTTCCTCTGTGAAAAATTGCACACATGATGCCTCCTTCATAATCTGTTGTGAGACTTCAGTGAAATAATTGTACCTGAAATCACTAAGTACTTAGTAATGGCGGGTTATTACTATTACTAGTAAAATACTGACTTCTTAGTTTTAATATAACAGTAAACTCATAGCAGCATTTCAGAACCTTATGAACACCAGAAACTACCAAATTATAAAAATAAAGCCACAACCAACTATTTGTTGAATTAGTCTTTTCATTTGGCTGCAAGATAAATTTAAAGCATCAGCAAAGCCATCTTAGTTCATGTTATCCACACATATCTTATATGAAAACAGTAGGCATAAGTTAAATATTTTATTACAAGATGATGATCAAGTATTACAGATAAATAAAGAGATAATTTTATGAAGGTTTAAAACCCCAGATTGTAGCAGTAGCCAAAAATTACTCCATTACTCAATTTATCAAGTTAATACCAATCTGCCCATAAATGAATGCCCAACAAACATTAATTTGATATGATACTAGAGAAGCTATGCTTCTTACCTTATAGACAGTTGTGTTTGCTTCTGCAACCACAATGAAATACTGAGATAATTAATGTATAAAGCGAAAAGATTTCTTCTGGTTCACAATTTTGTACATTTTAGGCTAATGCCATGTAGACATGGCTTTGGGTTTCTCATAGGAGTGGGTGCCAGGTGACAAAGTTGGACAGTGTGTAACAGAACAAATTTTCTTTACCTCATGACCAGGCAGCAAAATGGAAAGGAAAGGGACAGGGCTCTGATAGCCTAAGGATGGCCCAGTGGTCTCCACTTCCCAAAGGTGCCATCAAATAGCTCTACCCTTGAGACTACCTTCTATCCAAACCACAGCAACAGTGTACTTGTGCTAATTATTCATTTCTTGGCATTATATTCATGTATTCTTTCTACGTATTTCATTACCAACTCTAATTTTCTTTGTATTCATTTCTGATTTTTTAGGATTTGCTTATCATTGCACTGAGCTGAATTTATTTGTAATTATCACCAGTATTACAGTTATGTTCTGAAATTAGGCAAATTACGTCTAAAACAACTTCAAACTTTACTAGAAAGATAGGCAAGCCACCAAGAATTAGCTAGTAATAAGATTTTAAAAGCAATAATATGGTACATAAACAGCCTGCATTTACTTACTCAATCTACAAATAGTTTCTGTTTGCTCTGTGCCTCATACAGAGATAGCGTTGGCTGCATCTCACTCATCTTGGCTGACAGATAAAGAAATGAAATAACTGCAAGCACCCTGTGAGGGCATACCGAGAACTGGTATTGGTAATGTACAGGTAAAAAGTGAAACAGGCTATTTGAATTCCTGAAAGTTGTTTTTTTTTTCCTGGATCTCGCTCTGTAGAACAGGCTGGTTTTGAACTCACAGAGATCTGCCTGCCTCTGCCTCCCGAGTGCTGGGATTAAAGGCGTGCGCCACCACCGCCCGGCAGAATTCCTGAAAGT